GCCAGAGAGAACAGATCGCCAAGTGTCACGATCCTTACACACCTCTTTCGCTTCTTTCAGATTCATTATCTTCTTCATACATGCACGTCTAGGTATCCGAGTACTCTTGACCCTACCCTCTTCGAGCAATTTTCTCACATGGTCTACGAAAGTCAGTCTCGGTCTACCTCGACACCTTTTAATATTAACTTTCGCGCTATATATTTTCTTCACCATTCGGTCTTCACTCATTCGCTCAACGTGCCCAAACCACCGAAGCACGCCCTTATCAATTTTTGTGATAAGGTCATCTTTCAAACCTGCCATATTGCGAATCTCTTCGTTTCGCTTTCGGTCGGCCATGGTAACGCCGCACATTTTACGAAGAGATCGCATCTCCACTGCATTCAACTTGCTTTTATGCTTCTTCTGGCATACCCAGGTTTCGCTGCCATATAACAAAGTCGGTACCAACACTGCGTTATGTATTGCAAGGCGTGCACTCTTCACTACGCCTTGCCTTTTGACTAACGCAGTCAGGGCACCATTGACATTGTTCCCGGCAGCGACACGCCTGTCCACATCTAAATCACATCTTCCATCCCGGCTAAAAGCACTCCCCAAGTATACAATTTCATTTACCTGTTCTAGACATTCCTGATTTACCCATATTTCACACTTCGTTCTCTCTTTGTCCCTTTCAAATACCAGAAACTTAGTTTTATTAGCATTCAAACGGAGACCTTTAATTTCACATTCCTCTTTCATACAAGTGACTAATGCCCGCAGTTCTGCCTCTGATGGTGAATTTACTTTTATGTCACCCAATTTCACACCCAAACAGCTATCTTTCACCTTCTGTAAACAGCTGTCGAGATACAGTATGAACAGCCAGGAAGACATGACACAACCCTGTTTTACGCCCGTTTGGACGCTAAACATAGGTGACAGGTCATGCCCTACCCACACACAGGCTTTACAGTCACAGTAAAGAGACTGCACAGCCCTTAGCAATCGACCATCCACACCATACCCCGGCAACAGTTCCCACATTTTCTTCCTTATAACCTTATCAGATGCTTTCTCAAGATCCACAAAAGCACAGAAAATCTTCTGGTTAGCAGCCAGAAGCTTTTCCGTGATCATGCGGAGAGAAAACATTTGATCCGTGCATCCTCTTCCAGGTCTAAATCTGCATTGTGCCTCCCATAGAAATCTTTCCGATTTCTCTTGCATCCTACGTGTCAAAACCTTCAAGTAAACTTTACTTGCTAAATTGGTCAAGCTGATCGCCCGATAGCACCCGCAGTCAAAATGTGAACCTTCACCTTTATATAAAGGCACAATAACTGCGGATCGCCAATCATCCGGGACATCCCCCGCACATTCATTGCACAGCAGATGAAAGCTGTTCCAGACGCGAGGCCCACCATACTTGACCATTTCAGCAGTAACTCTGTCTAGTCCCGCAGCCTTACCACATTTCAAACTTCGAATCGCACGTTCAATCTCTTTCATACTGATGACCTCAGTGTCATCGAGGTCCGGGTCTGGCGTACCAGTCACGGCGTCATCCCCGGATCACTCACTAATATCATCACACGCATACATTTCTCTATAAAATTCGCTCCATCGCTGCATGGCGTCCGATTTTTCTGAGAGGACGTCATTAGTTCTCGAAAGCACTTTGTTCATTCTTAAGGCCGTCGCACCACTTCGGGTCCTTCCAACCTCTTTCCAGAACAGTTTGGAGTTCTCCTTGAAGTTGTGCGACAACCTTTCGTCCGCTTCCATTCTACACCTTTCACGCACTTCCTCAATCAATGCTTTCGTGTGAACTTTCTGCAGCTTATATCTTTCTTTCATCTTCTCTCTCATATCCTTATCATTACTAGAGGCCAAGTAGTCTAACCATGCTTTCTTCTTCTTCTTTACAGCTTCTTTCACTTCATCATTCCACCATGCATCTCTTCTTTTACTACTGCCTCTTTTTATTGTTTCACACACTTCTTCCGCTGCACTTACCATTCCATCCCTAAGGTTCTGCCATGTTCTTTCTAGACATTCTTTTCTGCCATCGATGGTGTCAAGCTTTTCGGCTACCCTCGCATGATATTTGCCCCTAGTATCCGCTTCCTGAAGTTTCCAGCTTCGGATGCGACAGACCGACTGTGGTTCTGTTACTGCCGTCCGGTAGCGCCAACCCGCGAACAGACCCCTAAATCTAGTAATCACTAGATAGTGATCCGTTCCCAGGTCAGCACCCCTGAACACTCGCATATCCATCACCTGTTTTCGCAGTCGGTCATCCACCAGGAACAAATCGATCATACTTCTCTCATTCTTTCGTTCTCTAGTATACATATGGATTTTCTTGTGATTAAACATAGTGTTTGTCAAAAGAAGACCCTTTTCCTTGCATACCGCCAGTATAAGCTTGCCAGCATCATTAACCCTTTTATCGCCAAACTTTTCAAGTACCGACTCGTACCCTGGTCGAGCGGTACCAACCCATCCATTCAAATCACCACATACAACAATTCTTTCGTTTCCCCTAGCCAAATCTAGAACTTCTCTTACATTTTCCCAAAACTTCTCCAGCTCAGCCCTGGACGGCGAAGCTACCGGCGCATAAACAGCCAAAAGGAATAACTTTGTCAGTCCCAATTTAAAGCGAACCCAAAGAAGTCTTGAGTTCACAACCTTATATTCAGTCATAACATCGACCAACCGAGAAGACAGCAGCACCCCCACTCCCTGGCAAGCTTTCTCGCTCTCCGAGACTCCGGACCATAGAGCTAACGCCCCGCCAGGGAGTTCTTCAGTACCACTGCCCTTCCGTTTGGTCTCCGACATACACACGACATCTAATTCTCTTTCTTTCCTTACTTCGATCAACTCATTCGTCTTATCTCTCATGCCTCCTCTAACATTCCATGTGCCAACTCTGCACTCTGTCCTCCACCTTCCGCCGTGTCGGGCTGTGCGTGACGGGTGGCGGTCCCCATCACTGCTTTGCGCGCTGCATTCCACACCAACGGGGACGAGCTGGTGTGCGTCGCCTTGGGGGGACGCCCTAACTCTCGTTGGCATGGGTGCGCAGCTGAGTAGAATTGCAGCCCTGAAAAGGGCTGGCAGGGGTCGCGACGGGCACGCTTCTACAATGACCCCCTGTTCCAACATGTAATAATATTTTTACATCTACAATACTTTGATTCTGAGATTTTATGCAATTCTCAGATTTATTTTGCAATAAATATGACAACTTTGTGTTTTTATGCAGTTGGATAATTATTTTCCTCAACAAGAAAATACTTCTTAAGGTTTAATTATGTTTTGGTTTGAATATAATAATAATAATAATAATAATTGGTAAATCCAATTGGGCATGCCTTAAGCGCATTAAAAAAATTACTTATAACATTATTATATGGAATTTTTTAAAGTAGTTTAAATACATTTCGACAGCACTATAGGCTTCGACACCCTCGAAAACCATGAAAATGACACCCATGATGAAAAAATTGGTACCTACTTCAGCCGCCATCTTGGATTTACATTTCGACAGCACTATCGGCTTCAACACCCTCGAAACCCATGAAAATGACACCCATGATGAAAAATTGATACTTATTGCAGCCGCCACCTTAGATTAATATTTCGACAACCCTATCGGCTTCAACTCTCTCGAAAACCGTGAAAATGACATCCATGATGAAAAAATTGATACCTATTGCAGCCACCATCTTGGATTTACATTTCGACAGCACTATCGGCTTCAACACCCTCGAAAACCATGAAAAGGACACCCATGATGAAAAAATTAGTACTACTTACTTTTAGTACGTACTACTATTATTTATTCTGTGCTTTTAAAATATTGTAATAAAAAAATCTCTCATTATTATTGTAATCAAGTATTTAAGAAATTGGGTTATTCAAATATTGTGTATTTATACAGCGATCTTTTTTAGCCGCTGCAAACAACCGAAACAATGTCCACTCACGACGGCGACTGACGCCGGACTGAGTAAATGAGTAAAGTACTCTGTGGCTGTAGCTCAGAGTGCGGCTTCCGAATATTTACAGAAATAATTTACATACAAGGCTACCGAATCAACGAAAATTTCGCCATTTTGGAGCCGAAAAAAATAAATTATAGCTAAACAAAACAAAATTACACTGTCATTTACATTCAGTGGCTTCCCACATGATAAATGAAGAGATTAAAAAATAGATTGTTTACAATTGATATTTTCAAAAGTTATCGTGTTTACCAGCCTTGGGGACTTGATAAATCCACACCATAAACCACTAAAACCCCTTTTTATTTAAAAATAGCGATTAATCGATTTAAAAAATATATTAATAAGGTCAACAATCATTTATCTTTCTAACAATGTGCTTTTTATATCATTTATATGTATAATATGATTGCTAGATACGATTTCATTCGATAAAACGTTGGAATCTTAATTTTTACGCGATAGTAGAACATACCTTGCGCTTTCACTTAAGGCATGCAATTGCTAAAACAATAACAAAAAAACGTAGAGCCTTGTTAAAATTAATCTCATGTCGCTCACAAGCTCACAACGAAAAATGTCTACGAACAAAAACTGAATAAAGCTAGTATTAATTGTTTATAAGAAAAGATAAAGATTATAACCTAAATATCAATAATTACTTAGTTCTATTAACATTTAGTAGAAACCATTAAACTATAGCATAATGAAGTGATTTGACCAATGTTTGTAATTTGTTTTAAACTATATTACATAAGAGCATGCAAACATAACATGTCGATATTTATTAAAAGTTTTGTGGTAGTATTTACTATTTATATAAGGTAACACAAAATATATCATTAGATTAGATTAGATACGCGGATTTATATGAACTCCTAAAACGATTAATTATTAAGATATAAGTACAGAAACACACACAGATATTGCAGAATTATCACTTAGTTGAAACGTAGGAGTTGAAGTAGCAAGTAGTGGCAACCGGATAGTGCCAAGATGCGGTCGTTAGGAAAGGCCACGCTGTGCCTTTTCGTATTTGCAGGTGCGTGTGTTGTGTTTACTTAATTACTATGTCATGTGTGGTACTTACTTTATAAAGCAATGTACGACAACAATACTTTTAAATTGTTTTTCTTGTGCCGCTTTACAGTTAAATATAACCATTATATTATTGTTCTGTGTGAGCATTACACAGAATAGCAGTGATCATCTCCCTGTGCCTATTTACATACGATATGATACGCAAAATATGTGTTATGTACATTGTTCCAACAAAATGAGGGCTAATAATCTTCCGCTCACCAGATGTCGCTAGTTGACACTGAGGTGAAGTTTTTTGTTACCTACACAATGTCATTTAATTGTGAAGTTACATAGTTTTTAATAAAAGTTTATCAGTTTCTAGACTATTATATTAATACACAAAACAATGCCTAAGTGGTATTTTTTTCTTCAGTGGTGTCTTTTTTTTTTCTACTTTTATTACCGATTACTATTATTGAACATTTGTGGTTTGGTTTATTTATTTTTAATCTAATTAATATGAAATATAACTAATAGTACAAACAGAAAGAAACATTAACCTTTACATTTTTCGAACAAATTAACTATATATTAAAAAGTCGTGGATACACCAAATATTATAAATAAAAGTTTTAAATATAACATCTTTAGGATGCCCTCATAGGTAAGGACCTTGTAAGGAACATAATATACGAAGTATGGACCAATAACAATGTTGCCAGTAATAATGTGACGTTTAACTTACATAATGTGACGTTAAAATGAATTAAATTACTATTAGGTAACTAGAATGACGCTAAAATCGTTACGAATTGTTTTAATAATTAAATAGATACATACAAATAAGAGAGTAAACACGAAGATTTTGTTGACAGTTGTCATGTAATCCGGTTTATCGGGTATGCCAATTGACAGTGCGAACAAAGTAAAAATATAAGTAGATGTTATTCTATGTGATAAAAAACTCACTTTATAAAAATAACACTGTAAAACTTTTTAACTAAATGTGCCTGTATTTTACTTGCAATGTACACAACGATAGTTCGTAAGGCTTTTCGAATACTTAATGCGTTTAGCAATTAAAATATAATCAAACAAATGGGTAACTTATTAGTCTAAACACAATAGCTCTTAACGAACAGTTAATTTATCGATCAATAAGGTTCAATTTTGTCAAACAAATCGGATAACCATACCTATTTTACTCTACTTCCCAGTTATATTTTTCGGGCGTATGAATGTATAAAAGTGCAGAATTTTTTATGTTTTAAATCGACTTTTGCCTTTTGCACTACACCATAACATCCCTTGGGTGTCGTAAGAAGAGACAGAAGGAAATTTAATAGGAAATTGACAGCATCATCTTCCTTACAGTAAGTTAATATAATAAAAAAATAACTGTTGTGCCATGCCAATTCCACGATTGACATGCCAATCCGCATGTCAATCGTGGCAACTATGGCAAAAATGGAGCAGACCTGTTAACTAGAGGAATTTTGATAAGCTGTAATGAATAAGTAGTTTTCGCCATATTTATTTAGTTCTAACTTATATAATCATATAATCCGTGTCATCGATTCAAATTTGTTAAAATTCGACGAGGAGCGGATTAGGTTAACTAGAAGACCCCTTTTTATAGGCTCCCCCACGGATAATAGATGTCCGTGCGGCTCGGGTGAAAGAGCATTTTTTTTAATAGAATTAGAGTGATAAACGAGCACACAGTCCACCTGATGGTAAGTGTTAACCTCGATTAGGAATCAAAATGCAGATGCGTTTTCATTTAGGACTAAGATCGAATGCCTCGTTTCCAGGAAAGAAGGGTCTCCGGTTCTCTACACTCACCATACGAAATACAGCAAAATCCCGGTCGAGCCGACGCATTCGTTGTACAACCATAAAATAGTTACAGATAGCTCTACCACGTTAAAAAATAATAAATTTTCATTTATTCTAGTAATAGGGCAATTTCGTGGATTGTCACTAATCAACTAATTAGTCTGTAATACGAAGTACGAATTACGTTGATAAGATTGCTTCAAAGATCGCTTTTATAATAGCTCCATTTTATAAAGTCTTGAGTCCGATAAAGGTGTAAAAGCCAACTGGCTTACAGCACTAACATCATAGAAAATAGTCGTCGCTTTTAATATTGGATAGTGTCAAGTTGTGGCTGCAGGATGGATGGGTTGGCTCAACTGGGCTTACTAATGCTAAGGGAGGCGTTTCATCAGATATTGCTGATATTTCTTAATACGTGTTTACGTATTTTTAACAAATTTAGTAGTACACCAGCAAGTTTAATCAACTGCAATCGGATGCACCAAGTTGTAGCCGGCTTAACCTAAGTGTTTTTCAGTTTTAATGTGTTTGTTTTTTTTGTATGAAATATAAAAAACACATTACATGATATGTTGGTATGTTTTTTTTTAAATAGTACCTACCGTACTTTACATTTTAGTTTAAGCGAAAGATTAGTATATTTTCCACGGGACTTCTTTTAAACACACTAGTTTAAGTCAGACTAATTTTAGTAAAAATACTGTTATCGTCTTATAAAAAAACATGTTCTTTTTTTATAATATCGGCTTAAAACCATGGTTTAATGGTTTCTTTTTATAGGATAAGGGTGACAAACGAGCACACAGTCCACCTGATGGTAAGTGGTTGCTGCGGCCCATAGACATCTACATCTATCCTCTGTTACAAATCAAAATGTAGATGCTTTGTCACCCGTGAGGACTAAGATGGAATGCCTCATTACCAGTAAAAAGTGGTTGCACGATGGTTTAAGAATAGTCCTTTTAACTTCAGAAGTCCCTTGGCCGCAGTGCCACAATGTTCGCTACATTAAATAATAATAATAAAGCAAATAAAAAGTTTTATTTCTTTCACAAGGTTTGACTTAATTCTAGAACATAGGTTGACTCATTCTTTTAAGTGCATTTGCACCTGTGTCAGAAGGAGCCACTCTTCCAACATTACATTTTAATTAGCGCGACTTCTTTCGTTAAGCTGATTTTAGTTTAAACTTGATAAAATAAATTATTTTTTGTAATAAGGCCGTTAGGCTTTTAATTTTATATAATGATTTCAGCATTCAAGTGAAAAACAAATCTATACATGCAAATAAATAAAATTGAAGTGTCTGTTTGTAATGTCAAAATTACAGTTTTTTTATTAAATGCATATGGAAGTAAATATGGTACTTATAACTAAAATACAATTTTTAAATTTTTGTCTGTCTGTATGACTGTTTGTTTCAACTAATCTCCGAAACGGCTGGACCGATTTTGACGGGACTTTCACTGGTAGATAGCTGATTTCATAAGGGGTAACTTAGGCTACTTTTATTTTAGAAAAATAATTAGGGTTTCACGCAAAAACATTAAAACCCTAACACGCGAGCGGAGTCGCGGAGAACATCTAGTATCGCAGACAACTAACATATTAGGTTGTCTGTGATAAGCCTATTGGATACAAGCAAGGACGCACAAAGGTTAAATTACTATGGCGTAACAGTAACAATACTGTTCCGATACCATGTAACTAGTTTATAATGTACAAGTGCTGTCGTTTCTCAAGCGTTATTAATTTTCATACAAATGTTAGCTATACATTGACACAGCGGAAAAACACTACGAAGAATTTTAAACATGATCAGTGTTGATTTTTAATAATCGCATAAAGATAAAATAAACGATAAAAAATAAATCTAACGTCTAGCAATTACTTGCTTCGGTACGTAGAGAATTCCTTTATTAACAAAGGCAATATTGATTGATGATTACCATTTCATGGGTTAGTCACATATTGTGTCTCTATATTTAAATTGACTGATATTTGATTTATATTAATTTAACCCGTTTTTAAATAAATATATATTAGAATTTATATTAAATAAAAATTATATTATTATTATTATTTTTATATTAAATTTTATATTATTATTATTATTTTTAAATATATTATATATTATATTATTATTATTTTATATTTTTTTATTCTTACTATACCTACTAACTGCTCAAATACCTAACTACTTACTTTTAGAAGTATATTATGTGCAAGACATTGCACATAATATGCTGACTTAAACTTAATTATTTAGCATCAAGTCAAACCTCCGTGGTTTTTAGATGTTAATTAGACCTATATATGTATTCTTTTTCTTTTGATCTGATAAATAAATTTAAAAAAAAATGTTCTTGGCCTTTATGTTGCTTATTCGAATAAAATCTTGAAAGTAAGTGTATTAGCGCTTACATAAAACCTAGTGTTTGGCGGAGGACTTTCATAAAACTAAGTTACAAACGGCCTTTTAATCCACCTAATGGTAAGTAGCTGCTGCAGTCCCTGGACATCTAAAACCAACATCAAGCAAAGAAGACCACAAATGAGTTGTCACCTCTAAGGAATGGAATGCCTCACAGCCTGTATAGTGTTATACTAACTCTCTATACCTTCCAAACTGAAACACAGCAGTGCAGGCACTGCTGCTTGGCGACCCAAATAGGTGAGAAGGCGGTACCTACACAGATGGATTCCTAGATATAAAAGGAGACCAGCCACCTAGTAAAACGCACTAATTTCTGAAAGAGTTTATAGAGTACGACGTATAGAGACGCCTGCACTGCCCAATGTGTGTTGGCCGATTTCACATGGTATGCAGAATGCAGGTGGTTACCCCTCTTAAAATTTAAAAAATGCAATTAATAATCTTCAGTAAGGCTGCTTCAGTGCGCTGGGCATTATAAAATTTAAAGCAAGCAGGCCAGCCTCCGAACTACCGCGACCCCTACCTGGGTAAAATATCAAAATAGTAATGCCTCTGTAGGTTGTGATGAGAACCGATAGTCCAATACAAAATTTGGTACCTAATATATCCTCATCAATTCACCTAATAAAGTACAGTTCTCCGCAGACACCGTAACTCGACGTAGTTATATAAAAACTTTCCAACCCACAAGTCATTCAAAAATGAGTTAAATATACAGATCTACTTATTTTGACATCTTCATATGACGTAGTTATACAAAAACTTTCCAACCCACAAGTCATTCAAAAATGATTTAGATATACAGATCTACTTATTTTGATATCTTCGCGAAGATCTCAAAATAAGTAAATCTGTATATTTAACTCATTTTTGAAAGACTTGTGGGTTGGAACGTTTTTGTATAACTACGTCATATGAAGATGTCAAAATAAGTAGATCTGTATATTTAACTCATTTTTGAATGACTTGTGGGTTGGAACGTTTTTGTATAACTATGTCATATGAAGATGTCAAAATAAGTAGATCTGTATATTTAACTCATTTTTGAATGACTTGTGGGTTGGAACGTTTTTGTATAACTACGTCATATGAAGATGTCAAAATAAGTAGATCTGTATATTTAACTCATTTTTTAATGACTTGTGGGTTGGAACTTTTTTGTATAACTACGTCCAACTAATGTCTTCATTTATTATTAGAAATATTTTTTATAAGAAAGTAAAACTGACATCAAATAACTTAAAAATAAGAATTTCCACATAACAGCTACTGAAGTCAGTGCTAAGACCACAGAATAAATAATAGTACCACGTACTAAGACACAGTGTATCGAAGAATTAAGACCCCGCTTCGACCCGATGTTATTATATATAAATACATAACATACGGCAAATCGAAGGTGACTGATGTAGTCGCCAATGACGTTAATACCGTATCCTTTCTAGTCCAGCAGCTTGAAAACGTCTTCCAATGCAGCGGTGAAGAGTTTCAGGGATATTACGTCATCCTGTCTTACACCTCTCTGCAGTTGGATAGGTTTCGACCCTGGTTCTGTACTCGGATAGCCATCGTAGCCCTACTGAACAAACACTTCAGCACTTCGATATCCTGATAATCAACTTGGCAAAGCTGAAGGGACTGCAGCACTACCCAAATTTCGACGGAATCAAAGGCTTTCTCATAGTCCACATACGTAAGACAAAGTACTGTACTCTTCGGTCTTCTGTACAATTTGCCAAAGGTTATGTATGTGGTATATGGTGCTAAAGCCTTTTCGGAAACCGGCTTGTTCGGGAGGCTGGAAGTCATCGAGTCTGCGTGCGATACGACTCGTAACGACTCTCGAAAACAGCAAGTAGACTCGGTTCAGTAGGAAAATCGGTCTGTAGTTATTCAAGAGAGCGTTGTCGCCTTTCTTGAAGAAAAAGACCCCCGCACTTCTGCTCCTCGCCACCAGAGTAGTGCCACCATGGAGGACGGAATTAAAGAGCTTCTGAAGGATTTAAAGTCTTTCAGAAGCTCTTTAATTCCGTCGTCGTACCGGTTTTCCACCCGCTTTCAGAAGCTCCGCTGTAATTCCATCCTCGCCCGGGGGCTTGCCGATTTTAAGGTGAGAGCCATTCTAATCTCGCTCAGACTGACGTCCGGGATATCATCGGAATAATGTCGGATAAGACTCGATCTTGGATCGTTACTCACACTTGCGTGTGGCTCCAACGATGACGTGAACAGCTGCTCATAGAACCTTTCAATCTCACTCAAAATATCAGATGTCCTGGGAACGATGCTGCCACATTCGGTCTTCAACTTCGACAGTTGACTCTTTCTAGCAAAGAGGTCTCTGGCAAAGACTTTGGAGCGCTGTTTCCGCTCGATCGCTCCTTCTTCTTCTAGGCACTGAAAACGATTTTGTAGCTCGAGCTGAAAGTTTTCGGAGCCTTGGATTAGTGCACGAGGGGGACGGTGCGTTGACTTCATTAGACGTGACCTCTCCAACTTAACGTTTAGGTTCAGTGTGCCTCTCACCATTTGGTGATCGCTGTCAGTTTTCACCCTATTATCGTGTAACATACAATCAAATTAAATAAAAAAAACATCCAGTCGAATCGAGCACCTTTTCCTTTTTGGAAGTCAGCTAAAAATACAGCTAACGGCTTTGTTCGCTGTGAAGTAAACGTTTGACGGCTCCGTGGCGCAGTGTGTTCAAATCCCACACGGAACAAATAATTGTATGGCCTACAAATAATTGTTCCGGGTCTGGATGTTTGTCCTTGTGAAATTTTTGTACGTAAACTGTAAACCACGATACAAGAGAAAGAGTGGAGGTAAAGTTTTTTAAAAAAAGAAAAGGAAAAGGAAAGTAAATTACTATCATTAAATTAATATGTACCACGTAATAGAAGAGACGCTGAGACTTGTTGACTTGTTGACTGGTTTGCAACGTGCATTAGATCTAATGGGTTCAAACTTACTTAGCAAATATGGTACTCTGTGCCTCCCCCCTCCTTCCACGCGCTCCGCACTACCACACAGATTTTTTGTTGTGCCTCTTCTAGTACGTAGTACATAATATTACTTCAATGATTACGATGAAATTTATCCGCTCTATGAAATAAAAGTAAAAAAAATATCATATTTATTTTCAATATGTACTTTGCTCTTAAAGGTTTACTTCTTTTCTGCCGACTTCCAAAAAGGAGACGGTACTTAATTCGATTGTATGTTTCTTTTATGTGTGTTCCTTATAAGTTTTACTGGGTGAATCGATTTCGATGATTCTTTTCTTATTTGAAAGCTGGTACTTCTCGTGTGGTCCCATATGAATTTGATCAAGGTCAGACCAATAGCTTTTGAGTTATTCTTTATAACTCATATTGAGGTCGGCTGTACAAAATTTTTAATTTTAAATTATTCTTCTTTATCATAATCAGCCCGTAGAGGTCATAAGCTGGCGATTGCTTTCCCGCTGCAGAGTGGATTTGCGGTTGACAGATAGATTAACGATCGCAGTACCACTTTCTTTGCACTTTTAACGCTGCTGCGTGTCTTTCTATTTTACGTCTGGTGTAAACGAGACGGTACCGCCGACTATCGAAAGACATATTTTTCTGCCATTTCCCATATAGCCTTATAATATTTTACTCGTTACATTTTAAATATATGTATGATTTTAAAAAAATCTACTAAACTAAAAAAAATTGTTAATTTATTCAATTTTATGCTCAATATATATTGTTGTTCTCAGGTGTCATCATTAGATCTGAAGCGACAAGACCCCCCGCTCTTGTTACTTCTCTTGATGTTGGAGAAAATTGGGAAATATCGGTATTAACCTTAGGCGATAACGTAGAGGGATGCTACTTAGACACCCCAAGAGGGGAAACTATTGAGTTTAAGCCCGTAGATAATTCTAATGACAAATATAAACTTGAAGAGGACACTGATTTCGTCAAATGTAAAGTAACAGTAAAAAACATCAACAGCAATGATGCGGGGATCTGGACACTACGTTCTGTATCAGACAGTGGCTACACTAGATCTGAATCTTACGAAGTTACTGTGAACACAGGAGGTTTGGAATCTAAAGTCAATATTTCAAAATCTATGATTCATTTGACTTTAAGCCCATTTAACTTTTGCCTTGTCTTTAATTATATTGAAAAAAAAATATCTTTGAAATAAATTAAATAGTTAACGTAAAGTAGGTGCATAATGAAATGTGCTTGAAAAAAAAAGCCGACACATTTTTTGTAGAGTAAGTGCGATATACGAGCATACAGTTCACTTGATGATAAATGGATGATGGAGGCTATCTACATCGTCAATCTTTTATTAAGAATTAAAATGCAGATTCGTTGCCGTTCGTTCTAAGATAGAATGCCTTGTTACCAGCAAAAAGGGTCTTCGGTTCTCTACACTCACCATACGCATTAGCATCACACATCAGCATTAAGATGCTAATTTACGCCGGTATTCTGTGAGAGAGTGGTCCTTCCCCGGTGGAGCCGGCACAGTCGGGCTGCAATCATAATAAACATAACTGCAGCATGGCTCTACCACGAATAAAAAACTAGCACTACTAATTAAATTAAGTTCCGTAATAGATTTATATTTAATCTTGTAAAACATCTTCAAGAATAAAAATGCATATGTCAGAAAGTTGTGTTGTCCGCTTTGATAAATGTAATAATGCATCTGATCATACGAAATCACCAACAATACAATCATTAGGTAGAAAATTCGCGCCAAACATCCTTTTTGTCATAGCATACGCTTTCAAATGTATTTTACGCAACATAATACATTATAATGGATATATTCTGTCGTATTTGCTTTTTTAAATTTGCTAGGCCAGGTTGGAAAAAATATCATATTATGCTAGATTCAATTTCAATTAAATTTTAAAATACTTTATAATAATCGAGATATAAAAAAATTAATTGCCGCGAGAAAACTTTTCTACTTTTTTCGTATAATAACAATATAAGTATAATATTTTTCGATATTAAGAAAGACATGTTATTGAATTATATTCTTCATCCACTACAATTTTATATAATTTTAGATATGGATATTTCCTCATTGAGGTATAGTATTAGTACATAATATAATCCAATGTATTTCCTGTTAATAAGCAAAAACGTTTCAAATAAATCAACTTTCCAAATCAACTGTCCACCGAATTTCGTACGCTTACTTCATGCGGGGCAAATATGCATGCAGCGAAGGGAGAGAAAAGTAAAGGCAATTCATTAATGCAAAATATATATTAGGCATAAGATTAAAGTATGATTCAACATATACCTCAGCACAGTTACAAAGCGCAGCCAGGCTGTTGCTTAAAAAAATACTATTTCATGTCTTAATCAAAACATTTTATAAGACAGTGTTTGGTATAAAAAAATAAAGGTATTAAGATAATACAATAAATATAAAGCAATATTTAAAACGATGCAAAACAATTAATAAAAATTGATATCAAAATTAATATTTATGTTAACTTACATGTATATAGAGAGATAGAGAGAGAGAGAGAGAGAGAGAGAAAACGAGAAGAAAGTGAGAAAAGGGTTAAAACCATTTTATTTAAATTTACTAAATAGAATTATTTCATAAATTTACATGAAATGCCTTGTCAAGTTTTGATAACAACAAAGTAAAAGTATTGTATATACATATTCATTTTTTTTTCTATTATTATATAAATAAAGTCATAAAATCCACGGGACGTTAATTTCCAAATGTAATTTACTACATACAACGCTAACATTTTGGCATATATTACCTTTTATTATATTTGTACAATCTTTGGTGATCTTGTATACAGATAATTCTTGTAATAACCACATTTTCTCGACTTGAAACAAATTGTACCACAATCATAAAATACTTCATGTCAGTGATTTAATTTAATTCCGCAAACCAGAAACTTCAACGGAAATTCCAAGCACGTTAAATAGCGAGATAAATGAAGAATCTTCAAAAGAAGCTTCCACGACAGACGATGCTGAAACCACAGGGCTACCAAATGAAACAACTGAAACCACAATAGAAACTTCAACAGTGCAAATTGAAGATGTGACAATTATTAACATGGACCCTGGATACTTTGTTACGAAAATCGGTGAAAGTCATAACCTAAAGATTCCAGAATATGACTTTTTAAATAGCGAGAAATGTTACATTGTTACACCAGACGGTAAACAATATGATGTCGAAATATCACAAATTTATGGAATAGAAGTAATAAAGGATTACAATGTGGCATGCGGAGTTAAAGTCCATGTTGTATCTGAACAAATGATTGGAGATTGGACATTAATCTCACGAGGTATCAGATACAGTACCGAGGTCGTTGAAAGAAGGTTGCCCTTTACAATAATTTTAGAAGGTATTATTTTTTAAATTAATTTAAATATCTTTGGAATTCTACGTGTGTCGGGTCACGTTTAAGAGATAAGGATAATATCTGATAAGAGTCATGACCATCAATAAAGGATTATGAATAAAGTTTGGACGTAACATAAATGTTATTGATAAAGAACATTCTTAATTACAGAAACAGTGAATGCTTTGCCAAGTGAGATAACCGTAAAGCAAGGAAATAATATTTACATACGTTTAGAAGATTCCACTCCATTTCATGATACTTGTAAACTGATCGATCCTTTTAATAATATCCGTACAAACATAGAAAAAGATTCGAGATATGTTGATACCTGCGGCTTTATCGTGAAAAATGCGAGTGAAAAAGACTCTGGATTCTGGCATATTAAATATGGAGAAAGAACAATCTATAAAGCGTTTGTTCGAGTGACTGTTAACGGTAACTGCTTAATTTCATTTAGTATATACAATACTTATTAATAACATTGTTAAAAGAATTATTATATCGTGTTCCTTACCATGGCCTTTATTTCATGCATTGCAACACATGCTTTTTGTGTTATTCTATTTTGTTTCATGCAAACACGTACATTAATGCTTTTTATTAATGTAATCACAGTGATTATTATTGGTTTCAATATATGAATCATTGAATGCATGGTTTGCTTAGACATTTTTATCTGGACAGGTCTTTTGTATAAGCGATAATAAGTTGTCATATAATGCTGACGTAAAAGCTGTAGTATAGTATTACCGTGTGGTGGCCATTGTCCTGCGGGTGCCGAAAAAGGCGACTATGGGATATTTTTTTATATATGTATATCTTCCGATAGAGATAGGTGATAGACCATCTCGTTTACGTCAAACGTAAAATACCCAGACAGCGACGGTTTGCCGCATCAAAGGTATGGGTCGTATGACAATGCAATCTTCAATTCGCCTATTAAGCATGACAATTAAGGCATATTCGGCCGATTGCGTGAACTTACACGATCCTGTCTTATAAGGTAGAAAAAAAAATAAGTATGAATATAATTATGGTGACAATGAATACTAAAATTACTTTTTACCAGCAGGTGATGACAAAACAGACATTCAAAGTCATTATACATGGACTCTGGACAGGCCTGTTGAGGAACTGATGGGTCCAGAAAATACTGTGTACTGCAGAGTAGTTGATGCCAATGGAAACACAGTATTCGATGGATTTGGCAGATGTAACGTTACCTTAAACAGGGTGACTGTCGAGCACGCGGGAACATGGAGGATGTTTGTTGGTTTGGAGGGACGTGTGCTGACTGATGAACACGTTTTTGAAGTTTCTGTTAGAGAAGCAGGTAATGCACATTATAATATTTAGTGATGGATTTATAATATAGATATAGTTTAGGTACACTAGGCACTGGCCTAGGCCATCACCGCAGAGAGGGCATCGGTTATTAAAATTTTGATAAAAAATTACATGTTTTAGTAAGTTTAATAAATGCATGTTACTAGTCAATTAAAATATGAATAAATCTCTAGCTATTTACAAATGCGCTAAATGAATATAGATTAGATTAATTCTAAAATTGGTAACTATTTTCCTTCAAAGAAAAAAAAACAATATAAAATGAAAAACTAGGTAAGCAGTTGCTATAAAAACCTAGGGCACAAAAAATTTAAATCTGGCGCTGTTAATATTGAAATAATAAACTCAAGCGAATAGTTTGCTACTGTACTAGATTGTTACTTAAATGCCATTGTGATACTCGTACATACGGAAGTTGTCTTAATCGAGAAAGGTGATGATAAGAATATTAACATTCTCGATTTCGGCACCTTATTCAATTCTTTAAGTGACATATAGACTTTCAGAATTAAATAGAAATGTCAAATATTTTGTGCTGTGTTTTTTTTAATAGAAGTAATACCATCAGACGTTAAATTCTATACATTCCGGTGATGGCCAGCAGCGTCCAAAAAGAGAATCGTTGTGATCGGCACTCGTCAAGCGTGAGGATTAAGGCAAATCCTTACAAAGTCTGAGGCCCATGTCCAGCAGTAGTCTTCTGCGGGCTGATGAAATAGTAGAAGAATATTAAATATTTTGCCCCATCTCTTTATTCTTATCATCGAGTGTATATAAAGTTATATGTCTATAGTCTAGTTTATAAGTAGTAGAACCACGCTGCAGCTATATTACGGTTATAGCACAAATGAATCGGCTTGATCGGAGAAGCACCACGCTCTCACAGAATACCAGGGTAAAATAGCAGCTTAATTCTGCTGTGTTCCGTGTGGTGAGTGCAGAGTACCAGAAACACATATTACAGGAAATGAGACAACCACTCCTAGTTCTCAAAGAAGATAACGCATCTGCATTTTGATTCTTAACTGAAGATAGATGTAGGATTTTACGTGGTGGAGCCATGCCGCAGCTATATTAATAGTATAGTTGTAGCACAAATGGGTCGGCTCGACCGGGGAAGGACCGGGTTTTCACAGAATACCAGCTTAACACTGCTGTGTTTCATATGGTGAAAATGTTGAGAACTGGAGACCTATTTTACTGTAAAAGAGGTATTCTACTTAATCCTCACGGCTAACGACGCATCTACATTTTAATTCGCAAACGAGGATAGATGTAAATGTCTATGGGTCACAGCAACCAATTACCATCAGGTGGACTGTGTTCTCGTTTTTCACTCTAATTCTGTAAAAAAAAGATGTGTATAGGCCACAGCAGCCACTTACCATCAGGAGGTCTGTGTGCTCGTTTGTCACCCTTATTCTATAAAAAATTGTTATAAACAGCTGATAATGGTCTGATGATTTCAGCGCCCAAGCCGGTGGTGTCCACGTCTGTAGTCACAGACAAACCCTTAGTCACTCTGACCTGCTCAGTGTCGAGTCCTCATGCAGTTCGCTCGTGCAAGTTCCGCGACCCGTCCGGTCGTATCCTACTCGCCAACCCCGGTGTTGGAGAGGATCGCTACACTTTCCATGGAAATGGTGCCAGGTAAAAATAAAAAGTATTAATTAATTGATAATATTGCCAAATCTGTAAATAGGCATATTTTTTGGAACGAAGCTCTTTATCGGACGGTACGAATTTGGCGGACGGGGGCTAGGCGAGAAAAAGTGTAAGATTTTTTCGTCATGACCCCTTCTAGCATAGCGAAGATGGCCTTGGCGGCTATAAGGAAGCGAGATAGAATAATATCCACCTCCCTCGCACTTTTTCTTATCTTGCCATGAAAGAAATATTATTTTATTTTAAATTACGCTTAATTTCAATAGGCGCTAGTAATTCATTTATTTGTATTTGTTAATCAATAATATAATACGTTTATCAACAATAATATATTAGAAGCGTCAGTAGCCTAAATGCAGGGCGCGGACCGCGAACTCGAAAGGTCGTGGGTTCGAAACCGCCATTCGACTACTGTCGTGAACCACTTCTAACACAAGCATTTTAATCTTACGAGAAGTGGTTTAAGAGAATATTAGTAATGTTTACTAGCATTACCAGTATTTAAAAAAAATACAACGAAAGGAACTTCGTTCCAACCGAGTGTTCTACGACACTCACGCATGTTTTTTTATTAAATGTAAAATTTCTGTATTAATTATGTAGCATATAATGTATAATACATAATTACATGCACAAACTCTTTAACGTCTGATTCGTAATTCGGCATTAGCCTGACGTACCTCTTGCTTTTCACATCTAGTTATCTATGCACGAAGATGCACACATGATCTTCGTTAAGGGTAATCTTAATTTGGCCCATCTTCAATACGTTGCTAATTTGGTCAATAAACTTCCATTTAGAGCGACCCTTTCTGACCCTGCCACTCACTTCTGCAGCGTAAAATCTATTTTCAATTTATTTCCAAGTGGGACAAGGACAAGTAGTCCCAAAATCTACATTCAATTTTCTTTAAAATGATACCAATATTAGGTTTATCGGCTGTATCATAGGAGCAGTTTGCATACATAAATTGCACAAGGATAAACATCCAGACCCGGAACAATTACTTGTGGGCCATACTAATACTTGTTCCGTCCGGTATATGAACCCGGACCTTTAGCGCCGCAACTTAATACTAAGCTACTGCGCACGGAGCCGTTAATTTTAAGCTTGTATATTATATAGAACACAGAAAGATTAGATGTTTTATGCATATAAAATTCTAGTGTAGAGATATTAAATTTTTTTTTAGTAAATAGCTCACAATGATTCCAATTGTGTATAGGCTTCCTTTTATTTCTGAAAGAGTTATGAGAGGACCTATTAAAAGCAAGCAAGGGTCCCTAATAGCACCTAAAATTTGGAGGCCTTTAAAAAATAAAACTAAAAATTGGATTGAAAACATCTCAATGTATTATTATTTTATGATTAATGGATACTAAGCATAACTTTGTACGAAATATATAAGAAAAATTGTTTTTAAAATGATATCATTAATTGCTTACCTAATATTGGAAGTACGCGTTTCAACCTTTATGCAACATCAATCGTCTGATTCACTAGGGGTAAGCCTAGGGCACCCAATAGAATGACAACCATATCAAATTAGGACGTTACAGATGCAAGCTACTCGAAATTGTGCTTTGTAACAGTCTTTGTAAGAAGGCCATGGACAGCAGTGGACTTGTGAGCAAATAATGATATTATTGTGATAACGCAACCATACTATATTTTTCAGCCTACAGTCCGGTGTCCAAAATCACGAGTGTGGTATTCAAATCACGAACCCAGTGATCAGAGACCTTGGCTTATGGCGCTGTGCAATGGCGACTGATGCCGAAACCTACTATGGCTTTTTAACTGTACTTTGCCCGTGGGCCATGCAAGACCCTGAAGTAGCCGCTACCGTTGAATCAGGTGAGATTTAATTATTAGGAAAAATGTTAAAGGCTATAGATCCTTAAGGCAATCTAGGCACTTGCCTAGGGGCTCGCTAGTTATCTATTATCATTTTACTAGTAAGATGTACCTATGTAGCGTTACAAAAGAAAATAAGTGACCAAATGTTTATATTTTAAAAAGGAATTAAAAATACAAGGGCCCTTTATTGAGGGCTAATAATTTACCGCTCATCAGATGTCGCTAGTTGTGAGTGAGTTAGAAGTTATTTATTACATAGTGTCGCCATAAGAAAAAAGTTGCAATTCAAATACGAGAATTTTGATTTCTAGTGTATACACTCATACATATTGAACTTAAATATAAAATTTGAGAAATAAACCTGTATTAATCCAGTCACTTTAGCATAATAAGGGGGGTCAACCTCGTAATGAGAGATAATAAGCTGAATTTTCGTATACAAAGACTACAGGCAGAGACTACGGACTTCCATTTGGCGCGATCTTGACACACCTCTCTCGCCTCCTTTACATCCATATATTTACGCATACACGCTCGTCGGTTAAGGGTACTCCTAATCAGGCCCATTTTCAATGTATCACCGATTTGGTCGATAAATCTTCGTCTAGGGCGGCCCTTCCCGACTTTGCCGTTCACTTCTGAAACATAAATTTGCTTTGTCACTCTTTCCTCGTTCATTCTTTCTACGTGACCAAACCACCGAAGCATTCCTTTTTTAATCCTTGTCACAACGTCATCTTGCAAACCACACTTTTCTCTTATCACACTATTTTTCACCCTGTCATTCAGATTCAGCCCTTGCATACTCCCGTAATGACCGCATTTCTACAGCCTTTATTCTACTCTCATGCTTCTTCTGCCATACCCAACTTTCACTACCATACATTAAAGTAGGGACTAACACAGCATTATGAATTGCCATACGTGCCTTCTTTGACACATTCTGACTCTTCATAATAGCGTGTAGAGCCCCATTAACTCTATTTCCTGCGTTCACTCGTCGTTCTATATCCTTGTCATATCTACCATCCCTGCTAAATAAACATCTCAAATATACAAACCCATCCACTTGATCAATCAACTCCCCTTCTATTCTTATTTCACATAACGTTTTACTTTCTTCTCTTTCAAAAACCATCACTTTCGTCTTACTTGCATTCACTTTCATACCCCCTTTCTTTTAATGACCAGTTCATTAAATTAACCATCATTTGCAACTCGGCCACCGACGATGCAAATATGACTTGATCATCGGCGTACAAAAGGCATTTGACGGTTAACTCACCCATTCTCAACCCACATTCTTCAACTTTCAAAGTTTGCAAACAACTGTCCATAAATAGGTTAAACAGACACGGAGAAGCTACACAGCCCTGTCTGACACCTTTTTGAATGCCAAACCAGTCCGAGTAGGCCCCGTTGATCTTGACACAAGCACTGAAGTCCCTATATAGAGACTTTAATGCCTGTATCAGACCAGCGCTCAACCCAAATGAGGTCAGTGTTTGCCATAACACGTTCCTGTCCACTCTGTCGTAAGCCTTTTCCAAGTCCATGAACGCACAAAAAACTTCCTGGTTTTTGGCCAAAAATTTCTCCTCAATCATGCGCATGGAAAATACTTGATCCGTACACACCATCCCCTTTCTAAATCCAGCTTGCACATCCCAAATTGTTCCATCAGTTTCTTCCATAACTCTTTCAATTAACACCTTAGCATACAGTTTATTACAATTGCAAGCTGATACCACGGTAGTTTTTACAGTCCTGCTGCGACCCCTTTCCCTTATATATTGGGACTATAACGGCTTTGCACCAGTCTACCGGTACCCGCTTCAGTTCCCAACATAAATTAAACAAGGTGTACAGCAGACCTGCAACCACACCCTCTCCAGCCCTTAGCATTTCGAGTGATACTCTATCATATCCGGCTGCCTTACCTGTTTTCATGCTTTTCATTGCTTTCATTATTTCATCTACACTTATCTCCCTACCTCTCTCCACTTCTTCCGGAATTTCTATTTCACTTACTTCAGACGACTCTTCATTCTTAAACACGCTTTCAAAGTATTCCTTCCATCTCTTTAAATTCGAAATTTCATCATTCAGCATGCAGCCATTCTCGTCTCGTATAGCATTAATTCTAGGCTGTTTTGAATTTACCCTGGCAGTTCTTACGAGCTTCCAGAACATTTTAATATTTGCCTAGAAGTTATCAGATATTCTTCTATCATTCTTATCTATCCTTTCTTGCTTTTTCCTTTCAACAATTTCTTTTACTCTCTTACTTATACGTCTAAAGTCTGCCTCTTTTCTTTCAATCTCATCATTCATACCGCCAGAATTACCAGCTTTGGTTGCTAGTAAATCTAGCCATGCTCTCTTCTTTGCTTCAACTTCCATCTGTACCTCATCATCCCACCACAACGTATTAGTTTTCCTTTCATTCGTTCTTTTACTTACACCACATACTTCGGTGGCTGTATCAACCAAAACTTTCTTAACTTTATTCCATACATTCTTCAAGTCTAAATCATTCATACATAAGTCAATACCTTCATTTTGCCGTTCTAAAAGTTGTCTCAAAATTCTCGTAAAATTTCGTGTCTGCGTCGTAAGTTATTCAAAGTCAAAGGTTAAAAAAACAGTTTTTCGCGATTATCTCGGTTTCTATTGCTCCTATGATGTTGACTCAACTGTTTTTGCGATAGAGTGCGGTGAGTGCGCAGCGCTCCGCCATACGTACTGTAATGCAAGGTCAACTGTGAATATCTGTGAATACTACCTTAAATTTTGTATAATTTGTACTATTTATCAGTTAATATATTGTATTTCATAACATTTTACATATTTTAATATATTCATTTAATAATACTTCCCTACCTACTTGGTGTAGTTAAAAACTCATGAAATGTTATACGAGTACTTATTGTATTATTATATTTATCAAAGTTATATTAATTTATTCAAATTAAATTTCAAGTAGAAATAAAACAAGTTAATATATTTTAATTTTATCTTTATGTAGCTTTATGTATTTAATTTGAATTGCAGTGAAATTCTATAATATAAATGTTTAATAATTTAAACAAAAAAAGTATTCATTTTCTTCTTCTTCGTCGTCATGTTCTGGACGTTCGGGAATTTTGGTTTCATCGTCATCATCTCCGTTGCCCTGAATTGTTGTTTCCAGTATTGCAGGGTCAAATGCACTCACTTCCTCACAGTCACTTTACAATGTAACAGCATTGAGGCATGCTAGCTCATTACACTGGCCATAAGCTAAAGTGCATATTCACGGTTGAACTTGCATTACATTACGTATGACTGAGCACTGCGCACCCACCGCCCTCTATCGCATAAACGGTGGAGCGCATGATAAAATGTTTAAAATAAAAAATTTCGCAAATTTTATGTTCTACAATTTTTATAATAGATGTCAACATCATTGGAGCAATAGAAACCGAGATAATTGCGAGAAACTGCCTTTTTACCTTCGACCTTGAATAACTTATGACGCATGCACGAAATTTTACGAGACTTGAGACAACTTTTACGACGCCAAAATGAAGGTATATACGAAAATTCAGCTTATTATCTCTCATTCCGAGGTTGATCGCTAATTTGACTGGACCATTTTAGTTATTTCATATTTACCAACATGTAACGCGATTACGCGAGTTTTTCGAAATGTCTCGAATATTTTAAATAGAAAAAACTAGACTTTATAAAATATTATTTAATAAAGATAATGGACCGAGTTGTATAGAATTACAACAGAGAAAATTAATGTAAAAAAGAAAAGACAAAAGAATGTAAAAAAAGAAAATAAAAAACAACGACCAGTTGCAATATTTACATTTTTATCATCTTAAGATTTTCTTATTACATCATTTATTACCTTGTTTTCTTTTGACCGTCCGTGTTTTGGAACAAACCTACGAGTTATAGCTTGCTTATAAATACTCTAGGAACAAACATTTCTTATTTTCAATGCATGCATTGCATGGCGTTAGCGAGAAAAATATCTGTTTAAAATTTGTCATCTCTGTGGATAAAATATCAAATTTAATAATGGGTCGGCACGACCGGGAAAGAACCACACTCTCACAGAATAGCAGCGTAAAATAGCAGCTTAATGCTGCAGTGTTTCGTAAAGTGAGTGTAGAGAACCGGAGACTCTTTTTACAAGTAAACTAGAAAACGCATTAAATGTATCAGCCAATTTCTGGAGAGGAAATGAAATCTTTAAGCCAAGCAATCTTTTTGGCGTTTCCCAGACACATTTAAGCATTCTAACCCAGTGGTGGGACAGTGACCTGATGGTAAGTGGTCTATCGACCACAGTATTTCTATACGATATGAAACGAGCACCACAGTCCACCCGTGACTGTGGTGTTCGTTTGTAATCCTTACTCGTGTAAAAAAATTGCTTGTTATTTTTTCAGAACCTACTCTGCAAGCAGAGAATGAAATGGTGAACGGTTTAGTCGGCGAGACTGTGACCATGTCTTGTTCAGTACAGTCCGCTATAAGGTACTGTTACTTCAGAGCAAGTAATGGAACAACCTTTTCTGTAAGCCCTGGTAAGTTCCCTTTATTATAAGCATGATACAGATCATTTTAAAATTTAAATGGTATCAATCACTTCTGTATAAAATGTCGAAGTTTAAGAATTACTGCGAGAGTAAAAGCGAGTACCAGACAAGACACACAATAGAAACGTTTCATAATATCGGATAATTATTTGTTCACCTTTGCATACGGTCCGAGCCGTCTGTACATTTAGTTAACGTTATGGCGCGTCGTTTTTTTTTGCCAACCAAAGTTTTGTTGCCAACACAACATTTGTCAACACGTTTTGTCAACAAATGTTTCTGTAATCACCTAGTTTTAGCAACAAAACGAAACAATGTCGGGAATCGTGTTTCCATTTTCGGCGGCAATATCAAGGAAATACGCTTGTTGCCGACATTTGTTCCCTCGGTGGAGACGCTTCTTGCAACATTTTGAAACATTTTCGGAAACAAATATCGTCAACTTTTGTTGATTTGTCAACAGTTGGAAACATAAATGTTGTCAACATTTTTGGTGGAGACGCGCCATTATGCTCACAGAATTTATAAAGCCGTCGTCATCATATTATTACATTGGTTCGTTATGATCCCGGGTTCGAATCCCGTTCTGTTCAAAATCAGTTATTAAGTTTCTATGTCAAACCGTTTTCTGTAGCAGCCCGGAGTCTGAAAGTTGACGGTGTTTCACCCCACCCAGGACTTACGTAAAGCCGTTGGCCCTGTTACAGTCTCCGTTATTATCCTAACAGCCATTCACAAGTTTGCTGCTGAACATAGAACCACCAAGTAACTTAAGATAACTGCTTGTCTGGTTCATGTGCCGATTGGTAACGTACTACCGTTTTCCCTACCATTATCCTTTTGTATTTCCTAAATAGTGATTCCTTCACTTTCATATCATTTTGGTACTATCATGTTGGCTAAAACATGTTGAACTTTATGTGAAATCCTAATACCTACAATGATTATAATTTTTTTTCGATGTTTAACTTAGCTATTCTATTTTTATGGCTTAAACCAAAGAAATATATTTGTACACGACACCGTGGAGTACATGTGTACTGTAAATTTTACTAAAACCTAACTATACCTGTATTAACAAATACAATTAATTTAAATTTGAATGTCTGCGTTTTTGGTTCCATTTTTTTTTTAAATAAGCTCTTTTATTAATAAACAGAATCCTTTAACTTCACTATCATGGTGTATTGGGTCTCGAATTGGCGACCAGCCTATTTCAGTCCAGTGATTCTACATCTAGTGTTACCATGAAATCCTTTTGATATTTTCCAGTCACCTGTACTACGTTAACCATTCTAAGTTAGTACTACTATCCGACCTGATGATAAGTGATGCAACCGAAGATGATAAAGCACATCTCTTGCGACACATACGGGACTCTTATCGATTATGGATTTGCTACAGTCTTCATCACACTCACAGCATTCACAGATCTTTTGTATCAACATTAATAAGATATTTTATAATCTATTTTACACAATAAATGTATTTGAATTGATTTGATATATAAAATATAAAACCAACTTCATCATCATCATCATCTTCATTATCATCATCGTTACAGTCGTTTGAAAATTCATTGATGAACATAGGTCTCCCCCTAAGAATGCCACAAAGCTGGGTCCTGATCCAAGCCTGACTTGGTTTATTTGGCTGTTCACGGCGGCGGCACGCGATTTGTATTGTGTGACATGTATTACAGGGGAATCGACTGGAGCCATCGAGTACGCCGGTGCTGGCTTCGACGCTGGTGATTGTTCCATTCGCTTCTCAAGCCTTTCAGTGTCTGACAGTGGTTCTTGGAGCTGCCGTGTTGGATTTGTCAACCCTTCGGAGGCCGAACAACACGCTTCGTTCGAAGTCTCCATCCAAGGTACTTGACTATGTAATAGAAGAAGTTAAAAATTATTTTTTATTAATAAGGCTCTGGAAACAGCGATAACTTTTGAACAGAGTATCGAGGGTTTATTGGTAAAATCAGTTATCTGTCAATTTTGCCAAATTGAGAATACTGCTACCAAAAATAAATAACTCAATTTATAACTCATTACAGACACGTCGTGAAACGTTCATAACAACGTTTAATGATAAGTATATTATTAAGATATAGCTATTTGAAAGAAAAAAGTCGTTTTAATAATAGTTTTGGCAGAAAATTAAAAAGGCGCGAAAAATCAAGCAGTTAACTAAGTTTATTTTAAGTTTATTAAAATTTTGTTTTTCACATGTTCATAGGTCTGTCTTGAATATTCTCTTACACTGCACAATCTGTGAAATATGTATTTATAATTACCAACTATTATTTACTTACAAAATGTAGTAGGTACGTTTCACACTATAATCAAAAAAAATTAAATGTAACTGGCTTTGTCTTAGAAATTAGACACAAACTGTAATCAGACTAAGTCAATGTTTTACCAGTTATATTATATTTAAAGTTTCGAAATCTGAATCTGAATTCTACACACAAAACTTTCTATCCATGCATGTATCTCATCAGGAATGATTCCTTTTTAATAAAGCTTCACAAGACCTCTCTTTTCACCACCGTTATAAAAAGCAAAGAAGAATACAATTAACGCAATTCTTTTGCGTTTGGTTAATTAATCGTTTTTTGTTTTTTCTAGTAAACATTGACGGACCTTTTTATACAAACGCGTAGCCTCTTATATCATCATTATTAAAGCCCGAGGACTGCCACAGAACATGTCGAACGTCGAGAACTCTTACCTGGTCGTCACGCCATCTAGTGGGGACCAAATTACACTTCGACACCTCTTACCGTTACTAGGCTGTCCTTCGAAACCCTTTTTTCCCCCATAGGTTGGAGGTGGCTGATGGTTTTGGAACCATATAGCAGCCACCACCAGCCATATATGGCACCACCAATTGTCACTCGAGCTTAACTGTTAGGCTACGTCGGTTATATTGGTTATGATACTGCGGATATCCTCATCACGAAGTCTATCACTAGAGATACTCCTAGCATAGCCCTCATTATAGCAGACTGATAGACCTTGAGCTTGCTCATACGGCCAGTAATGAAAGACCACGTCTAAGATCCATGTTGTGGCTAATATCACTGGTAACACGTACCCTTTTGTTTGCAAGTTTTGAGGTTTACGTGACGAAATTTTCTCTGCTTAGCCTGGAGGTAGACTGGTACAGAATGCCCTGTTGCATTAAGTCCGCCTTTTTGTACTTGGTGTGCAAATAAAGCATAGATAAATAAATAAATAGTTCCTAGGACCTCCAGAGCTTCTTCCATAATGACTATATCATCGGCACATTAAAGATGACTTGCAATTGATGTTGAAATCGTATAATTTCTAATCTTTCTACGTGGTAGAGCCATGCTGCAGCTATATTATGGTTGTAGCACGAATGGGTCGGCTCGACCGGGGAAGGGCCACGCTCTCACAGAAAACCAGCGTAAAATAGTAGCTTAACGCTGCTGTGTTTCGTATGGTGAGTGTAGAGAACCGGAGACCCTTTTTACTGGCAAAGAGGCATTCCATCTTAGTCCTCACGGGTGACAACGCATCTGCATCTTGAGTCTTTATTGAGGATAGATGTAGATGTCTATGGGTCACAGTAACCACTTACCATCAGTTGGACTGTGTGCTCGTTTGTCACCCGATCCTATAAAAAAAAATCCACTTGAAAACGTCTTCCATTGCAGCGCTGAAGAGTTTTGGGGATATAACATTACCCTGTCGTATAGCTGTTTACAGTTGGATATGTTTGGTACTCTGGTTCAGTGCTCACATTGCCATCATAACCCTACTGTAGGTATAGAAATTTCAGCATCAATATACCGACAATCGACTTAGCATCGCTGAAAGGGTTGAAGCACCGCCCAAATTTCGACGGAATGTAAGTTTTCTCGTAGTCTCCTAACTTTGTCTTACAAAAAGTGGTAGATTGTCTTCTTAGATCTTATCTACAATTTGCCGGAGGATATGTATGTGGTATATAATAAATATCAACAGCGCTGTTTTTTGCCTATTTTGGAATGCGTCAATACTTTAAAAAATAACAAACAATGATTACACTCACAGTTCTACGTATATATCTTTGTCAGCCCGTAACAGTTTGAGTTTTGTGTGATTGTGAAGGATTTAAATACCGTGAAAATACGACAACTAGCAGAAGGAATGTCAAATACGCGCGATATTGCATTCTCCTCTATTAAAGATTTCAAAGGACGAGGGGACAAGATCAATTTTCGTGTGTTAAAGTTTGGCCCTGGTCTGGCAATCCTATCCATCACTATTTCAGAAATTACATAACGCCTATGCCCAGAAGTGGGACGAAAATAGGCTAAGAACTTTACTTTTTAATTTAATAACAATTACACCAATCAGAAGTCGCCCATGCTCTAAAAACACGCAGAATAAAAAGCTTTATGTAGAAGACTATCTTAGCTCAGTTATTGAGAAATAAAATATACCTATATATAATACTTGCTGACCAGGCAGACGTTGTTATGACCTTTTCGACGACCCTTCATTTTAAAAATCCTTAAATTCATAATAAAAAAAATATTGAGTGTCACTTATCAGGATAAAAATTACCATATCTCTCAAGTTGGACCAAACTGCACTGGCTATGCAAAATTTCATTGAAATCAGTTCAGTAGCTTAGGAGTTCATCGCGGACAAACAACGTGACACGTAATTTTTATATATAAAGAAGATTAATAAAATATATATAATATTAATAAAATTATATAATAGAAAAAATAATAAAATTAACATATTTTATCGTTCCTTTTACAGATACATTGGTGGTGGAACAGAAAGTGGAAGATAATACGTTGATAATAACAGGGCGCGTCCACAACGACAGAGCCGTCGAATACTGCAGATTTGTGCGCATCGATGGATTAGGTAGGAATAAATGCAATCTTCACTTCACCGTGTAGTGACGGCTTTAGAATATCCACTACCCCATGTAGTCCCGTGGGGCAACCATAAGGACAGTCGACGAAAGCGAAAACTCAATCATACATGTACACAGGCCGCTATACTACGCGTAGTAGTCATTAGAGTTGAGTCGAGGTCGATGTCGAGGTCATGGGTGACGCGAACTCATAAGTTTTTCCCGTACAAAAATCGCTGAACGTAGCTAAAGCAGTTTTTACTTAAAAAAAAACACTATATAAGGTTGCCAACTCGTCGGCCAATTGTGGCTATGGAAAATCCCCAAATAATTTATGGGGCAATCTGCGGGGGAGGCATATGAGTGGACTTTGAAAGGCTGTAAATTGACGGTAAATGCACAAACGAGCACACATCTCACTTGGTGGTAAGCGAATGACTCGATAAAAGAATCTTCGATAGAAAAAATCAAATGCATTACCTATTTACCATTAAAAAGTGTATCCGATTCACATCACTCACCATACGAAATACTGCAGTGCAATGCTTTTTTGATTTTGACGCTTGTACTGCGTGAGAGCGTGTTCCATAATACAGCTGCAGTGTGACTAACAGGTAAAGCCAAGCCGAACAGAAATGTTTTATTTTTGATATAGATACGTTTGTCTATAACGAAAGAGTAAATTTTTATTATGGTAGCTATTATACAGTTCAAACTACGAGTGCATGAAGTTCATTTGAACAGTTGACGTTTTATATAAATAAGCGGCCAAGTGCGAGTATGACTCGCACATTAAGGGTTCTGTAGTATCGTAAAACATGTTTCTAGTGGGGCAGCCCCTTTTAATTTTTTATTTATTTAAATTTTTATTGCTCGCATTTGTTGTTATAGCAGCAACATACACATTCTGTGAAAATTTCAACTGTCTACCTATAAGGGATCACGAGATACAGCCCGCTGACAGACAGATGGACAGCGGAGGCTACGGAACCCTAAAAAGTGAACCGACGAGAATTCCGAGCATGATGAGTGACGTAACGCTTCAGGATTAATAGCCAAGTTATGGGAAAGCGATCTGGAATGTAAAACAAGGTGTTTTCTTATGAGGAAACTTCTGAGGATCAATGTGGATTGCTTCACAGCCTCTTATTATAATATCTCTCTATAACCTTCAGTTGGCAACACAGTAGTGCAAGCAAATTTTGTTTGGCGGCAAATAGTGCAAGCAAATTTTGTTTGTAAGAGGGTTGTGCCTACCAATAACATTTTTAGACTAAAAGGTATTGTGCCAGTGAACCACAGTGTTCGGGGGAATTTTTTTTTATTGAATAAGGACGACAAACGAACCCACAGTCCACCTGATGGACAGCTGTTGCTGTCGCCCATAGACATCTACTTCTATCTTCGTTTGCGAATTAAAATGCAGATGCGTTGTCAGCCGTGAGGACTAAGATGGAATGCCTGTTTTCCAGTAAAAAGGGTCTCCGGTTCTCTACACTCACCATACGAAATACAACACTAAGCTGCTATTTTACGCTGGTATTCTGTGAGAGCGTGGTCCTTCCCCGGTCGAGCAGACCCATCCGTGCCACAACTATACTATTAATATAGCTGCAGCATGGCTCTACCATGTATTAAATTATACTACATTAAAAAAATTATGTTACATATCCATGAATAATGTGGTTTTCTTTGCAGGTTTTACGACAGAGAATCTTCCTGAAGGTTATCGCAGCCACAGCCGCCTGTCGGAGGGCCGATGCGAAATTTGGATCCCTAGCCCCTCTGTACTAGAGCTGCATCCTTGGAGTGTGGCTGTCCGAATCCGTGGACAAGGTATAGAGTTGTCACGGCAGACGCTTCACAGCCTCCAGGAACCTCAGCCGGAGAATGAAAATGAAAAGACCATTTGTAAGTTGGTTACAATTTTACTACCTATACAAGCTACCCAAAAAATGTACTTCCTTAAAGTCAACCTTATCTGCAAGTGTGCCGCGCAATTGCGCCAACTCAGTTTACTGCGTCGGGTGTGTTAAATCACTTCTTCAAAATGTGTGGGCGGAAACCGAGACGAATCGACCCGTAATCTTAGCCGCCTAACCTCTATTTTAAGAGAGGGCATCAGACGTCCGTGTGTGACACTCATTCTTGGGGGTCACGTCCACCTCGTTGTTGCCGAATCCAACGTGGTGTGATGTCAGTTTCGTGAGGTAGAACGTCAATGACTGATTAACCACTGTCTGTTGGACGTTTTCAATTGGTCAGAAGGATTGACGCTGAGCGACGGGCTGCACCCTTTCAGTTGGTTTTGGTCAAAAGACCGGGAAATTTGAAAATGGTTAAGATGTTATACACACACACACACATATGTTATATCACAGATATTATATCTTTACATATAAAAACTACGTGTCACGTTGTTTTTCCGCGATGGACTCTTAAACTACTAAACTGATTTCAATGAAATTTTGCAAACTGTGTGCATTTTGGTCCAACTTGAGAGATAGGATAATTTTTATCCCGCTAAATGTTCCTCAAAATTTATTTATGGAGAATTTAACTAGCGTAAAATAGCAGCTAAATGCTGCTGTGTTTCGTATGGTGAGTGTAGAGAAACGGAGACCCTTTTGTACTGCAACGAGGCATTTCATTGTAGTCCTCAATGATTCCTATCTGTAGATATATAGCTTATAAATCCAACATGTATGTACTTCCGAAAACTAAAAATTTATATGGAGCAAGAAAGTTGGCCCATCTTGTACGAGTACCTACTTTTATTAATGCCTTGCCACTAGAATTACAAAACACATACGATAAATCAAAACTGTTTAAAAGTAAACTTAAATCATATTTGATAAATCAACCATACTTACTGTATTAAGTACTTCATACTGGATTATTGTGATTTAATATTAATACATCTTTGTTTTTATAAGACGACTCTCTAGTGTAGATAAACCCCTAGAGGTTTATATGCTAGTATTGTACTGGATAATGTAACATAATTATGCTTAATAAATAAAATAAAAAAAGATAGATGTAGATGTCTATGAGCCACTGAATCCAATTACTATCAGGTGGACTGTGTGATCGATGGTCACCCTTATTCTATAAAAAATTATCTCCTTCTGAAAGTCTCTTAGATCGCCTTGAGTCCTTGTGAAATTCTTATTTGAAAATTTCATTCAACAATTTCAACAAGTCTCGATATCTGAGAAACTAAACACTTCGAGGATGTCTGCCAATACACTTTAGAGCACCTAGTTAGTCCGTAACCCTCTGTTAATTTATTAAAAATAGTAATTATAAGCACATAATAATTTCTGCTCACCAGATGTCGCTAGTTGACACTGAGGTAAAGTTTTTTGTTACACAATGTAATTTAATTAAAAAGTTGGTTTTTAATAAAAGTTTATCAGTTTCTAGAGTGTTAAATTATATATATATATATATATTACACAAAACAATGCATCAGTTGTTCGCTCTTTAATTTTTTAAAACTTTTTATTTAATTTTTCTACTTTTATGAATATATGTGGTTTGGTTTATTTATTTTTAATCTTATTAATATAAAATATAGCTAATGGTGGAAAAAGAAACAATAACCTTTACATTTTCCGAAATTAATTCACACGCTATGATATCTGTCAAATATTATTACCTCATTTTCTAGAGGCACCGCCCTGGTGGTAGATAAAGTCGTGGATGCCTTCATTAAGATGTTTTTGAAACTGAAAGACCTTCCAATCTTATGATAGGGATCAGAGTCGGCATTAGCCATCCAGACAGGGAAAAATTCGCTTGATTACAATCCCACCTGATGGTAGATATCTAGGTAGTATATATTATGTAAATTTAGCCCTATATCGCCCTATAACCCAGGATATTGTAACCAACCCCTACATGGCCACATAATAGCACATTAATTCGTGAGCAAGACACCGAGAGGGCTCTTGGCGCCCTTGACACTGACGCCCAAGTCGACTATCCCAAAAGCCAATACTGGTTAGGATATACGGTGGACACTACACTAGGCACTCAAGTTATTCCGAAGACTGAATGTTGCAGTGTGCACACAATCAACGAGCGGCACATATAGTTTTTTTATTTATAGGATAGGGTGACACACGAACACACAGTCCACCGGATGGCAAGCGGTCGCTTTCATAGACATCTATATTTATCCTCAATAAAAAATCAAAATGCAGTTGCGTCGTCAGCCATGAGGACCAAGATGGGATGCCTCTTTTTCAGTAAAAAGAGTCTCCAGTTCTCTATTCACCATACGAAACACAGCAGTGTCAAGCGGCCATTTTACGCTGGTATTCTGTGAGGGCGTGGTCCCTCCTCGGTCGAGCCGACCCATTCGTGCTACAGCTATACTACTAATATAGCTGCAGCATGGCTCTACCACGTATAAAAGTTCTGCTGTCGTTCAATGTTGCTGACACAATGGTCGTCATCTGTTTTCAATTACCTTACCGTGTTAAGGTGCAAAAAGGTATTAGGGTATCACAATTCAGATACTTGGGACACTACGTGACCGAGGATTTGCGTGATGAAATGGACATGGAGAGGGAGCGTAGGGCTTTAGCGACCAGGAGTAATATGTTAGCCCGTAGGTTTGCACGATGCAGTAATGCCGTTAAAATAAGTCTTTTTAAGGCATACTGCCAGTCTTTCTATTCGTGCACCCTTTGGGTCAACTATACACAAAGGGCGTATTAAGCATTAAAGGTGCAATATAACAATTCATTTAGAGTTCTTTTGGGGCTGCCCCGCTACTGCAGCGCTTCAGGCATGTTCTGTGAGGCCCGCACTGACGGGTTTGACGCGATAATGCGCAAAAAAGCCGCATCGCTACTAAGCAGAACAATAGCAAATAGAAGGAATAGCTCCAATAGTATCCTGGGTGTTATAGCACAAAAACATGACTGTCCTATAACAAGGCAAATTATTAACGTCCTGCATGGCTGACTTACCTGTGTGTGTCATTTTACTTTCTCCGTCCACCTAGCTGTACTATTATTATTATTTTGTGATTTTGCTAATATCTGTGATATGGATCTCATTTGTTATCCGAAATAAAGATTTATTATTATTATTATTTGGTATCTATAAAGTTTTCTCATCTGGTTGGGAAATATAAATATATAATTGTAAATAATCATGGTAAACGTACATAAATATCAATAAAATAAAATAAATACATAAAAAGTACATAAATATATAAAAACCCAACCAGATGGAAGCCCTCGGCAGGGGAGACCAAACGGCCGAGGGTTAGGGGGAAAGGGAAAGAAACAGGCGGACGATGCGGGCGGTATCGAGGAGCACCGCCTTCTGCATTTGAGCTTGGAGCGGTCCGTCACGGAGTCCCAGTCGCCTCAGATGACCCGAGAGGCTGATTGGAATTAACCCATTCGCAGAGACGACTACAGGTATAATTTCGGCCGGCAGTCCACCCCACATGTCGGTCACCTCGTGAGCCAGGTCCAGATATTTTGTCAGCTTATCTGTTTCGGCTTTCACGAGGTTCTCGTCATAAGGAATGGTAATGTCGACCAAAAATATCCTTGACTGTGCCCGGTCCATCAGCACAATATCAGGCTTATTCGCAAGAATAGTCCTGTCTGTGATGATGGCCCGGTCCCAGTAAAGCCTGGCGCGGTCATTTTCGAGTACGGCTTCCGGCAAGTACTTATAATACGGCAGTTTCCGATCCACGAGACCGTATTTCAGAGCGAGTGTGGTGTAGAATCCTGGCTACTAGGTTGTGCCTGTGCAAATACTCAGAGTTAGAAAGCGCCGAACAACCGGAGATAACATGCCTAAGTGACTCACCGGGATGGCGACAAGCTCGACAGACGTCGACGGTGCCATCCTTTAGGATGTATCTCCGATAATTGTTGGTCTTAATAACCTGGTCCTGTATCGTACAGACAAAACCCTCGGTTTCCCCAAAGAGGTCACCGAAACGTAGCCAGTGGAGGGAGGCGACTGTGTCTACGAAAGGCTCGTGTAGAGCCTTGTAGAACCTCCCGTGGAGCTCCTTCTCCTTCCATACGGACTCCCGGTCGGAAATGCTCTGTACTGCCGGGTCCCGCCATTGCTCGTTGGCTAAGGATAGAGGGGTAAGTCCTTTATCACAAGAAATAACGTCCCTATACTATGGATCATCCGCTCTCGTCAGAAAGTAATTACGGAGGCTGCACACTTTGCGATTATGCATGGTAAGCGCGCTTAAAAAGCCGCGCCCGCCATGCTTCCGCGGCAAGTACAGCCTCATTACTGACGATCTCGGATGATGCATCCTGTGGGACGTCATTAAAGTGCGGACTTTTCTGTCCAGAGCGTTTAGTTCGGTCTGAGTCCACCTAAGTATGCCAAAGGTATACAAGAGAACAGGCATGGTCCAACCGTTATATGCGTGCGTCTTATTCACACCGGATAAAAGGCTGTTAAGCACTTTGGTCAAGCGTGCATAAAACACATCGCAAACTGACTGTTTCATACCCGCCTCATCTACACCGATGTTCTGTGACATACCCAGGTATCGGTATGTTTCAGCCTCGGAAAGGGTCCTTATGTTGATGGGCATAGATAAATCTATGCCCTCAGAGTTAGCAACCCTTCCCCTTTCAACATGGAGGACCGCACACTTATCCGTCCCCAGCCCCATTCTAATAGAATTGCTAAAATCACAAGTGATGTTTAGCAATTCCATAAGATGAGAGCGACTGGAGGCGAATAACTTGAGATCATCCATATAGAAAAGGTGGGTGACTTTTGTACCTCCCTTCCGAAGCTGAAATCCCCTCCCGGAGCCCTCCAGTAAGGTACTGAGAGGGTTCAGAGAGAGGCAGAACCAGATTGGACTCAAACAATCACCCTGGAAGATACCCCTTCTTATCTTTATGTGGTTCTCCGCAGCCGTCATCCGCTCGCCTAGATGACAAAGGATCGTACTCCACTGCCCCATACACTGCCCGAGGAAGTCTCTAACTCTACAGTCAATCTTGTACAGCTCAAAGACCCTCTTAAGCCATGCATGAGGCACCGAGTCGAATGCCTTTTTGTAGTCTATCCAGGCGGCGGAGAGGTTCCGACGGTTGCGTTTAACCACCTTGCCAATGACCGCGTCAATGAGGAGTGGTTCCTTGGTTCCACGACCACCGCCCCTAGATCCATTCTGAGCGCGCGATATCACCTGATTTGAGTTCAGGTGACGACTGATTCTCGCGCTTAAAATGGATGTTGGTGTCTTGTATATCGTGGGTAGACACGTGATGGGGCGGTATTTGCTCGGGTCTGTGGTATCCTGATCTTTAGGAACCAAATGAGTGATCCCAGTAGTGAAGAGGCTCGGGAGCGACTTCTGGTTGAGAGCCTCTTGAAACTGTCGGGCGAGCACAGCGTGACACACCACGAACCCCTTCAGCCAGTAGTGATGCAGCCCGTCGAGCCCCGGGACATTTCCAGTTCGGGGCCCTACGGACCGCCTCAACTACGTCATCCGGCGTTATGATGACGGGGTCCATGGGCGTAATATTCGCACACTGACTCGCCACAACTTCCGTCCAAGGGCCCTCGCTGTGGTTTACGGGCTCTGACCACAGGCTGCGCCAGAATGCGATAGTGTCGGCCTGTTTCGGTGCTGGGCCCGTTCCACGTACCATTGGCCGCTCCAATGATTCATAGAGCCTCTTCTGATCACTCTGAAAGAGACGATACTGGTTGAACCGTGTCGACCTCTCGGTATATCGCCGAATCCACTTCCCCCAAGCAGCAATTCTCTGCTTCAGGTCGTCTATGCGCTCCGTCAGTTTTTGCGTTATATCCGGCTGGGACAAACTGATATTTGTCCCAGCAAACGCCATTCTGACGGTGCGCACAATTCTCGGCCTATTATTGCCCGACCTGACGCTTATCAGCCTGCCGATGCGGGCCCTTGCCTTTACGATACGGTCCTCAATCCTTATTCTCCAGACTGGGATGGCGCTACTTTGTCTAGTAGCGCGTCCAGCCGTGGGAAGTTTGGCGCCAACAATACGGCAAACTGCCAGTGCGGCGCCAAAAAGAATTGAGTCCGTCTCGCAAAGGTCCCGGCTGGCTTCCAAATAGGTCACCAGCATTGGGTTGAGAGCCCTCACGACAGCCCGATTCCGCTTGCTTAGGGGTATGCGCGGGAGTCGCGGTCGATTTTCGAGAGGCGTACTGCGCGTTTCCACAATCGCCTCCTCCAATTTACTACTCATCTGCTCTAGTTCTTGGGTGACCATTCCATCATCGCCTGAATCAACCAGAGCGGGGAGATCCATGGCGCCCTCTATATGTGGCTGCTGGTCTGTGGCCTGAAGAGCCACATCCCCAGCTATAGCCGGTTCATTCGATGAGGGAATAGCCTCACGTCGTAGTCGTTCGAGTTCGGCATCATCAAATATTTTCGAGCGTATGATGTACCGAACTCGGTCTGCCAAGTTTTGCTCCGTGACGGGAACTGACGGCTCAAGCTCAGCAAAAAAAGCGATGCATCCGAGCCCAATATCCCTCCAGTTTCTTCCCCTTTCGCCCTATAGTACGCCCGCAATGCGTTTATGTTCATATGTTTTGCCCAACGCATGCGGCGTACTCCACCAGCGGCGGGTGCCGCTTGCCGAGTCCGAGAGGACCCCGCCGACACCAAGCCGTCTGGTGGGGATGATGGACGCTAAGGGGCTGCTAGGTGGTCGTGCAGCACCTCGCGCTCGGCTGGCGGCTCGCATGCTGTCACGTCCAGCGCCAGCTCCAGACGCGCCCCGGCGACCACCAGGCAGCGGCCCTATGCGCGTTCTATTATTTTCCATCATCCATTAAATTAGGCGTCAATTAACGGGAGACACCCAGACCCGGCACCGTTTAATAGTGTGGCCGTAAGCACAAACGGGCCTTTGCACCCTCAATACTGCCGAGGCACGGCGCTCACACCTCTTGGCAAGGCACTGACTGACTGCGCTGACATAGCAGTTTTGTCACTTAACTGTTACGTCAGCGGGCGATGGGGTCGTCACTTCCCTACGCCTTTTTATTATTATTTATTTATTATTATTATTATTATTAAGCGCGAATCAAGATATTGCGATAAAAATCATCCCTTGTGTTGTTTTGATTAAAATAATTCCCAAAACACATTTTGATTTCCAGACCGCTTTCCTATAACTTGGTTAATGATTCTCATCATCGGTATGTCGCTCATCATGACCGGAATCCTTGTCGGACCCAAGAAAAACCGGACCTGGACTTACGCGAGAGCGTCATCCATCCGAGACAGCTTCCGTCGCAGCTTCAGCAAGAAGATTATTGTTGAACAAAGCGTACCTGAGAGAAACACGCCCATGTCGGCTTAGGAAACATGTTTTACATTAAATTAACACACTGTTATTTTTGAAATTCTTGTTATTGTAATAAAAATTTATTCAAATACGCGGTGATATATAGAATACAATATAATTATATTAAAGTACAGTTATATCTTTTCTGAGTTTTATTTCATTGCTTCGGGTTGTAGGTAAAAGTTTGGATATATAAACGATGGAGTCATAGATTTTTAGTGCGGCCTTTACAAATACTTACATCCAGTTCTAAAATTAGTTAACAATGTACACGTCACAGATTTAAACTTTAAACCTGTGGCGGCGCTATCGTCGCTTCAAATGAGAAACGAACCAAAGCCTTAATGACGCTATCACAGAGTAAAGAGTAAGGACCAGAGGGGAAGCTTCTTATCAACGTCGAAAATGTATACCTATTCTGATAGGGTTGTCACATGATGCATGTGAAAAATTTAAGGAAAAAATAAAAGTATTGTAAGCATAAGAGAACATCTGTATTAATTATAACTTATATTAATGTAACAACAAATCTATTGATTTTTCGAAATTAAGAGTTTAAGTGTAAATGGTGGTGGTGGTAGTAATGGCTGAGATGGTGGTCGTGGGTTACGGCGGTGGTGGTGGTGGTGGTGGTGATAGTAATGGTGGTGATCGTGGTGGTGTTGATGATGCCACTGTTGGTCCACTGCCTACTACCACCACCTACGATACTATCACCTCCACCACCACTGACCCAATCAACAAGCCTATCCACCAACACAAGCACCATTTCCACCAACACCAATCCCACCACCACCACCAATGTCTGGCGATTGTATTCCAACCATAACGCAGTGGTATTTACGCCTGGGGTCGCGACTCGCAAAAAGTAGCTAATATCCTTCCCCAGGAAGCAACCTACCTCAATAGTAAAGTGGGTGGATAAAATCACACATTTAGCCTTACTACGTAGGATATCCTGCCATCTACGGCACTGGCAAAGTTACACTGACTAACGTTTCAAGTAGGTGAGACCGACTTCATCACTCGGCGACATACCTGTCTAACACATTCTCACTTACCTATCAATGTTATTACATAGTTTTATTGTATACTAGCTGTTCCCCCCGACTTCGCCCGCGAATAATTTAGGTTATGTTGCGCGAAACCCTAATTCTCTTCTAAAACACAAGCAGCCTAAGTTACTCCTTATAACATCAGCTATCTGCCAGTGAAAGTCCCGTCGAAATCGGTCCAGCCGTTTCGGAGATTAGCCGGAACAAACAGACATACAGAGAAAAATTTAAAAAATTGTGTGTTTCATATGCATTTAGTTAAACGCTGTTATTTTGACATTACAAACAGACACTTCAATTTTATTTATTTTTATAGATAATACAAAAAGTTACTTACTTCACTTGATCTCTCGGGTACAAAAAAGGAAATATCCTTATTTTCTCTAGAATTATTCATGCATACTGTACAACTATTAGGCATTTTTGCTTAAACAGAACACTTATTATTTACATATATAAATATATAATAACTTAATTCTTCATTATTTTAATTAAAATACTTAAATCAAATTATTTAATAGTTGCAAATAAAAACTTAATAAATTAATTGATGTATAAAATTTCGAAATATTGTTGGTCTATTTATTTAAATGCGCACGACTAACAGCCCTTTCATGGATACTCTGACTGAGCCGGCGCAAACCGGTTTGTACCCCGACGGAGCGTCGGTGAACCTGTCGGTGAGAGCTCACGCACACGTCGCTGCGCTATGTATGGGTGTACTGGCAGGGAGCCGTTTGTATGTAGCTTCCCCTCTGATCGTTTCTTTACTCATGTGACGCTATCGTAGATTCCGAAGTACTCCGGTATAATAGGTATACAGACCACAAATTATAAAGTTGTATGATACAGACGTGCTTTGTACTATTACACGGAGCGCTGGCCGCTTCTGGGTTATACACCTACGACTATAATATACAATGTACTCTGTGACGCCTAGCCCGCCGAGAAATCTCCCCTTTTTTGAGTAGAACACTATTTAGATATAAGTTTGTTAGTGTAGCCAGCGATGCCATTGATAAGATAGATAAGAGCTACAACAAACAAAATGATAAGGTGTACGCACACAGTAGTGAAGAAGCGAGCAACCGTATTCCGCGTGTCCAACGAGGTTATTTTCCATCCTCGCTCATGGTATGGTTGGGAGTTTCTTATTGGTGCTTAACGGAGGTACATTTTTGTGAGAAAGGTGTAAAAACGAATGCAGTTGTGTATCAAAATACAGTCCTGACGGACCTTGTGGAACCTGTTTCTCATACCATGTTCAATAACAGGCACTGGGTATTCCAACAAGATTCGGCGCCAGCTCATAGAGCGAAGAGCACACAAGACTGGCTGGCGGCGCGTGAAATCGACTTCATCCGGCACGAAGACTGGCCCTCCTCCAGTCCAGATTTGAATCCGTTAGATTACAAGATATGGCAACACTTGGAGGAAAAGGCGTGCTCAAAGCCTCATCCCAATTTGGAGTCACTCAAGACATCCTTGATTAAGGCAGCTGCCGATATTGACATGGACCTCGTTCGTGCTGCGATAGACGACTGGCCGCACAGATTTAAGGCCTGTATTCAAAATCACGGAGGTCATTTTGAATAAACTTTAGTGTCATAAGAATCTATGTTTTGTTAAGTTCATTTTGGTATATAAATGGTTACATAATGAATAAATTTGTTTCAATTATTTTATATTAAACATGTGACGGAATTTATGACCTGACTAGGTATATATAATTTAATTAATAGAATCAGGCGTTACTTTGCGGAAGTCCATTATATTAAAGTTCGATAGCGAGCAGATAGATATACACGAAGTAATTTTGTGCCAACTTTATATAACATATATAATTTATAAATGTGCTTCAATAATTATCTGCGTTACTTACTAACTTATCTTCACGCACAATCCCTAACGGGGTAGCCAGAGAGAACAGATCGCCAAGTGTCACGATCCTTACAAACCTCTTTCGCTTCTTTCAGATTCATTATCTTCTTCATGCATGCACGTCTAGGTATCCGAGTACTCTTGACCCTACCCTCTTCGAGCAATTTGCTCACATGGTCTTCGAAAGTTAGTCTAGGTCTACCTCGACACCTTTTAATATTAACTTTCGCGCTATATATTTTCTTCACCATTCGGTCTTCACTCATTCGCTCAACGTGCCCAAACCACCGAAGCACGCCCTTATCAATTTTTGTGATAAGGTCATCTTTCAAACCTGCCATATTGCGAATCTCTTCGTTTCGCTTTCGGTCGGCCATAGTAACGCCGCACATTTTACGAAGAGATCGCATCTCCACTGCATTCAACTTACTTTTATGCTTCTTCTGGCATACCCAGGTTTCGCTGCCATATAACAAAGTCGGTACCAACACTGCGTTATGTATTGCAAGGCGTGCACTCTTCGCTACGCCTTGCCTTTTGACTAACGCAGTCAGGGCACCATTGACTTTGTTCCCGGCAGCGACACGCCTGTCCACATCTAAATCACATCTTCCATCCCGGCTAAAAGCACTCCCCAAGTATACAATTTCATTTACCTGTTCTAGACATTCCTGATTTACCCATATTTCACACTTCGTTATCTCTTCGTCCCTTTCAAATTATCTGCGTTAAGATATTTATTCTTACAAAAGTAGTTATAATTTAACTACCTCAAATAATTTATTGTATTGTTTATACAGCTACATAATTAAAAGATTTAGATGAAATTTTCACAATGTATAGCCATATACAGAAGTTAAAGTATAAACCTTGAGTCATCTCAATCGATAAACTAATCCAAAGAGCGGCATACATACAGCTTGCCTCTACAATATCCGGCCATATAAATTAGAAATCTAATGGAATAAAACACTAAATCTCTACTGTTCAAGGATCAACGCATTATGTATGACTGACTGTTCCGATTTCTTGAAATTAACAATTTACCTTAATCTAATTCATTAAGATAAAGTTTATTTACAATTTTACATAATACTTAATTTTATCTACAATATTAAAAACTACGATAATAAAAAAGAAAAACTAAAACTAGAAACTTAATTATCATATAGTCCTACTCCCCGCGGTATCGTGCCAAGAACGCTGGCTGCGTTTCCCCGCTGAATGGCTATACTTAGCCTTTGAGCGAGGAAAGAACCAGCCCTCTTATCACCAGCAGTAACGACCAGCCGCGGATGGAGTTCCTTTAGGAACTTCACCGCACGTGGACCCCACGGACCGATAGTCTCTACAGCAAATGGCACAAATATGTAGTCATCTCTCAGAGACTCATATTTGCGCCACTTACTCAGTTCAGCTGCCTCTGATGCCGCCCCGGCTTTAAACGAGGTACCCCTGAGATGAGAGGCCGCCAGAGTGTCTACGCAAGTAGCATCCCACACTAGGGCTTTACCTCTCTCCCAAGGGACCAATGTCATACCGTCGGGTCTCTTGCCATCGTCTCTAAATATTCCACAAGGCTCTAAAACCGAGGGAACATTTATAGAGGCAAGAGCCCTTCGGATGACATCGTTCAAAGAACTGTGTCGTGAAAACCTACCAGCGCTTTTCTTACATGAAAGTCCGTGGAGCCCAAACTTGTCGACGCTGTTACCACAGGGGCATTGATGGGGTTGACAAATCGCTGCTCCTAGTCGGATTCCTACGGCAATACGCAAGCTTTCCCTATCAAGTAATGTGCCGAGATTACTTGATGGTAAAGCGTGTAACCAGTGACTAGATTCCTTAGTCGAAACAGCTAGAAGGCGTGCCTTATCTTGGTCACTATGGAAATTATGAAACAAATCCTTCTGCACGCCCTGTACCAACGGAATATCCCACTGTTTTTGTTGGTTAACTTCCAGTGGAATATTTTCACCAGGACAGAGCGTTTGCCATGTCTGCCCTGCCTCCGTAGCAAAGCATAGGTCTACTTTATTATTTAAAATTATGTTACATAAGTCACTGACACTATGCACGGAAGCAAGGAAAGCAGGCAATGCAACGCTAGAAAGATTTCTCACACCAATGCCACCAAATTTTATAGGTAAAGTAGCTTGAGTCCAGGCTGTTGTATTTAAAGTTAAATTTAGAATTTTTTCTATAGCAATTTTAAGATTATTATCAATATCTTGTAAAATATCCGAACATTTCCAGACTGGACTCGAGCGGAGTAAGTATGTAAATCTAGGTACAAGAAGACAATATTTTAAAATAGTAAGAGCTATGTGGGGGTTTAATTTATACAATTTATCAACGTGGTTTAAAAACTGATCAAATTTTGTTTTTAAAACAGGTTTAATACTATCGAAAAACAACGGGGCACCTAGCAGGTAAAGTGATTCCGTATTGACAGTTTTTATTCCTGGACAAATATTATTAAAATTTTGAATTAAAGTGTCTCTATGAGAAGTAGATAAATTATTGGAAAAAAATATTTCACATTTATTGCTATTTGGTTCAAGGCCAATATTTTTAAAATTTCGAAAAATATGAGTAAGATCGCTGAGGACGTCATCTGCTCTACCTCCCAGTGTACCGTCGTCTAGGTACCAGACATTCAGCTTGGATTTCAAATTTGAAATAATGGGTTGAATTCCCAAACTGAAAAGTGCAGGACCCAGAGGGTCACCCTGCTGAACACCAACAGCAGAATCGATAACATGGTTTTCGTAAAACAAGTTAGTATTTTGACTATAACATTGCCAAACGTAATGATAAATTTCGGGGGTATTGTTAGCCACTTCTTTCAGCAAGGTTACCCTATCGATAGAGTTAAAAGCATTCCTTAGGTCAACCTTCACAAGAACATCTGCATCAGAGTTTGTTAAAAATGTACGCACTGAATGTACCGCCGCCTCACAGCCACCTCTAGTGCCAAAGCCTAGTTGAGTAGGCTGAAATTTGGTCTTAAGGTTAGAGATTATGTACCTGCAAGCTAATTTTGAAGTTAAGCGTCGAAATGTGGAACCAACGGCAATAGGACGGATACCGTTATCCTTTTTTTTGAAGGCACATAATCTTGCCCCATATAAGAATGGAATGAAATTTGGATTAACATTACCAGAAAGCATAAAGTTACATAATTTTGTAATGTCTTTAAGAAGTACTCCGCCGGCGTCACCGGCAGAAGCGCTTACAAGATCTTTAAGATGTTGAGGCGTAATTCCGTCAATGCCGCCAGCAGAGCCATTCGAAAATGACATAATTGCTTCTAAAGTGTCTTTTTCCGAAATTTGTAAAGGTTGCATAGATGTCTTGGGAGGCAGCGGTAAACCCTGAGACGGTTTGACCGAAGGATGCTTTTGACGAAGGCTTTCAAGAGTTTCGACATTACGAGGAGCCAGGATGTCGTCTGAGAATAAAATACGGGATGCATTTTTTAAGTCGCCATCCATTACTTTCGACTCAACTACTTTTTTTAAATCAAATTTAGGACGTGGTCGAGATAAATGAGTATTCATTGAGTAATCTAAATTTTGAAAAGATGTCTCTTTTAGTTGAGACGTAATTGATTTATTTATTGTTTTATCAAAATGAAAATGAGAATACGCGAAAGTAAATAATTTTTGCCAACTATTTTCACTATTAGCGAAACAATTTTGAATAGTGCATGACAATGCTTTAGCAAGCTGCATCCTCGCACCTCTAGGAATTCTTTTAACCACTGGTACATTACGATAATAATTGTAAATTTGCTCCGAAAAAAGGGAAACATTTGTGTCATTAGAGGAATTGCTAATAAAGTTATGAATTTCTACGGCAGGCTGTGAAGCCGAAATACTTTTACTATGGCATCGTTTAATATGTATATTTAATCCCCTTTTACCTTTAAACAGCCTACCGTCAGCACAATTTTGACACTGTAGGAAATCCGGCTGTGAATGTAGAGGAGCAGAGATATTCATTAAAAAATCTAAACAGATCTCTACAACACTCAAAAGTCTTTATATTACATATTCATATTAACTTGAAATGTGCTGTACCCCGCATCTTTCCCTGAAACAATCATTTACGGCCTAAATAAAAGCACTTTACTCTATAAATGAAATATTATTACATTACTTCCCTGGATTTATTCCATATTGATAAACATTGTATGTATAGTTGTTACGCTTTGACAGTTGTCAACGGCGCAGCAGAAATATTTTTCTTTATTAATTAGTATTATGTCTGAAATCAAAAAATTATTATTATAACAACTCTCTTATATATTTTCTGATCTTTTTGTTGAAATTTGTAAGCCAGAATTGGCCTCCAAATAACAAAATAAAATAATATAAATATACGTAGCTTTTGACAGTGAAAAATTTTGACATGACATTTCATTCTGTTTTTCAGAACAAAATACATGATCTTATAATATTATGTTTTGTAGAATAAAAGATGCGTCTGAAACTTTCTATAATTTTAGACTATATACAATTCAGAGCTATTTAATGAACATACACATATATGTGTATACATAAACTCTCACGAATTACACCTCAAGCATACCTCCCTAGCTTCTCTCAATCCATATACTCGTATCTATGCATACATGCA